AAATCAGTGCAAATAGTTTTAATAAAGCTCAAATAGTCTTCCGTTTACACATCTGTTAGGCTACATTTACACTAGTGCATGCTCATTTTAAAATGCATAGCTCAGACATAATCTTGATTTCTATTTATTTTCCACTGATTTCCTGATGAGCATTAGCAGCTTCCAGCGCTGTCTGCTTGTGTTTCCATGATCGCTACACTGACTCTGACTCAGAGGTAATAACATATTTAATTTCAGCAACATTACATGGCCAAAACACGTATTAGACGGCAATCAGAAGTTATTACAATCACTCGATGGTGGTTTAAAGTGAGTTTTGAGTAAAAGTGGAATATAAATCTTATTTATTGTCTTATGTAGCATGATGCTACAGTTTGCATGAATGGTCACATAACACGCGCTTTCGTCGTGTAATGTTAGTATGAACGGACATCTGCATATGATCGGAACTCCACGCAGCTCCCACGCTACTCTCCATTGGAAATGAATGACTGAATGACCGGTCTGTCGCTTGTCGGAGATGGAAAGCCGGCTTGAAACGCAGTGGAAACGGCAGTATGACGAAGATCGTTTTCATTTTAAAACATAAACGCACCAGTGTAAATGCTGTCTTATCTGAGGGGGCTGGGATGCATTCGCACTACAGCCTCACGTGTGCGCCACATCTCTGAGTGTAACCGGCGTAAACTAGTAGGTGTGTTCGACTTGACGCGGACTGACTGTGCAGACCGATCGGTGTATTACAGTACCACGAGAGCTAAAGAGAGCAGACTGCTCTGTGCGCTTTCGAAACGCTCTCGCGGATGTCAAGCACTGATCGATCTGCGCCGCACCTCTTCTAGTCGAACACACGGCTAGTGCTGCAGGCTTATTGGCTCACTGACGCTGATGAGATTAATCCCTTAGGTATCGAAAATTGGTACCGAACGACGAGACGTTTTTCGATACTCGATGGTATCGAGGCAATTCGGTCAGTGCCTAAAAAGTATCGAACTCGATACCCAGCCCTAAAATATAGACATGAAAAATATACTGTATATTCATATGTTCAAATTACAGAATTTGGTATTTATTACATTTATATTTTATTATATTAAGATATCCCAATTAGTGAACTTTGAGTACATAAAGAAAATTTAAAGCCACATGGGTTGTCAACCAATACTGAAAATCACAAACTGGTCTCTCACTAGTTGAAATCTACCATTAAACGATTGTTGTATTAATTGTTGTCTATTGTCTTGTTCTGTAGGCATTTTGGCAGGCGACAGCACACCGATGGTTCTGGAAGCTGAAAGTGGTGATCTGTGTCTGCTAACGCTGGAATGCTTGGCTCATCTCTTTAGCTGGATTCCTCTCTCCTCTTCCATCACTCCATCCCTCCTCGCTTCGATTTTTAATTTTGCTCGCTTCGGATGCCAGCAGCCAATCAAAACGAAACCTCTGCCCACTTCCAATGGAGACTCCGCCCCCAGAAGCCTCCCAGCCAATGGGGGCGGCGGGGGACACGGCAGGACTGGTCAGATGGTGGGCCACGCCGAACGCGCCAAACTGGGCGTCATGGCCATGAACTGTATTAACGAGTTAATGTGCAAAAACTGCGTCCCGGTGGACTTTGAGGAGTTTCTGCTCCGCATGTTTCAACAGACTTTCTACCTGCTGCAAAGACTCACAAACACGCACACCAACACACACACTATCAAAAGCAGATTGCAAGAATTAGACGAAAGGTAAGAAATGGATGCACATGCTTTAAACATTTAACTCATTGATGCCGCTGCTTTTTAACCCTTTCTGCCTGTCTGTCCCTCTCAGCTATGTGGAAAAGTTCACAGATTTCCTCAGGCTGTTTGTTAGTGTTCATCTGCGGAGGATCGAATCTAACGCCCAGTTTCCTCTAGTGGAATTTCTAGCTTTGCTCTTGAAATACACCTTTAACCAGGTAAAACACCTTCAGTTATTGTTCCAGGAAGCACCGACTCTAACTTACCATATTAATGTCTAATGATACTTCCTTTTGCTGGACTTTGTTTACTCAAACCTTCCCTGTTCCTCTAATTTTTAACTCTATGACCCTACTTTTTTTTTTTTGATGTTTTAATGATTGATGAGTCATAGAATGTTTGTTGAAAGTGTCTGGACTTGAAGGTGCTTCTTTTTTTTTACTCTTCTCCGTCTCAGTGGGTTTGTCAGTATTCAGCCACAAGATGTGCGTTATTGTGACTAATATTGAAGGTGTCATGAATTGAGAAACCAGAATTTTCCATGACATACAGTTGTGCTCACAAGTTTACCTGCCTCTTGCAGAATATGCAAGATTGTAATAACAAAATAAGAAAGATCATAAAAATCACGTTTTTTTTTTTTCTTTAGAAGGCATGTGACGTATCAAATTTTCCTGTTGTGATAATTGCTAAAGCTTTTATCTTGGTATAAGGTATTATCACAAAATATGAAAAAATAAAAAAAGTGTTGTCATAATACAATATAACAGGTTTAATAACTTTTTTTACTTGATACGCAAAAATGTATAAAGTAAAAAAAAGTTTCAAACAGATAAAAGTGAAGAAGAATTAAACAGAACAATGGGTAACACTTTACAATTAGGTCTCATTAGTTAACCTTAGTCACTCTTACTCTTTGTTAGAAAATACAACTGTTAGTTCCTGTTAGCTCGGGTTCATTAAATATTAAGTTCAGCTTTAATTTCTTTAGTTAAACTTTTTTGATTTTAACATATTAAATGTTGAAATTAACTAGGATTAATGAATGTTTAGAAGAATCTTTCATTGGCAGTTTATGCTAACTAATGAATGAACTAATGTTAACTAATGGATCCTTAATGTAAAGTGTGACCGAACAATAAAGAATAAAAACATTGTCAAACAATATCGAGGGCATGTTGTAGTCCAGATTAAAATGTAAAAAGGTTTGAAAATAAATAGCCTATTAAGTCTAAAGGTCATTGCACACTTAGTCCGAAATTTTCGTATTTGTTTTTTAATATTCGTTATCCTAAAAATTAGTCACGCACAGAAACCTTGCACACTGAGTCCGATGCGTATTAATTAGTCTGTTGCGAAAAAATTTGCAAAACTCTAATAGAGTCTTCAAGCAGTGAGGATGAGTTTGTTGTCCTCTCGCTTCTTAAAAAGAAATATTGGGTCCATCCAATCCTGAGATATAGAGAGGAAGGAGAGTTCCCCCTCATTATTAAGGAGCAGCGGGATTATCACAGGCGATTCAAAGTTTACTTCAGGATGTCAGTGGCTCAGTTTGATGCTTTGCTAGCGATACTAGAGCCACATATTAAAAAGAAGACCACCAATGTCTGTGAGCTCGGTGTGCAAGGATCTTTACAGTGCTTTGTGCTGCGAGAAGAAGTGGATGAACTTGACAATCGCATTCTAGATTTTGCCGTTTGCTTGTACGGTGGCTGAGTTGTCAAAACACCTCTCGAAATGCTTGCTACGGATGCGAAAAACGCAGAAAATCAAACCCAATCCGAATTTATTTTTTAATGACGCACGAACATTTCGGACTCGGTGTGCAATGGCCTTAAGTATTTAAGTATTCAGTGCTGTGATGAACAACTTTGTGAATAAGAAAATATTAATGGCTGTTTAAATCATTAAAATACCGGTTACCGGGGTAACGGCTGCATTTCTGCTGTTGCTTTAGCGCCATCTGCTGTCAGAGAGTGAATGTGCATTTTCATTGAGCGTGTCTCCTTCACTCGTTCCGCCATGCGCTTCTCATCCATGTTGGGCTTGTTTACATCAGAGTGCTCATGGCTCTTTGACGCAGCATACAGCAGTGTTTTTTAACCAGTTGATGGGAAATGTTTTCTTAATGCATTCAAAAAATCGTAATTATTAATTATTCACGGTATTTTGAAGTGCACATGATAACAATATTTTGCATGTGCATTATCGTAATGATATCGCATTACCAAATACCGGCACATGTATATTTAGTACTGTCCTGAATAAGCTGTTTCACAGAATTTATTCAACATAAGTTTACATACAGTATAGTCCACGACAGGGTTAATATAGGTAATTAAAACTAAAACCATAAAAAACATTACTTAAAATACTTTAACTGAAATAAAATATTAAAAAAACTTGAACTTGTTTTATTTTAGCTAGCAAAGCAAAAATCTCTTATTTTGATTTAGTTTAGCTTGATGCACTAAGATAACAAACTAAAACTGAAATAAAAATGAATAAAAACAGAAGACATTAAAAAAAAAAAAAAAAAAAAAAACCAAATTTTGATTTAGTTTAGCTTGATGCACTAAGATAACAAACTAAAACTGAAATAAAAATGAATAAAAACAGAAGACATTAAAAAAAAAAAAAAAAAAAAAAAGCTAATAAAAATGACAAACACAACTAATCTTCTAAAACTTATCTCAATGATACTAAAGTAACGCTGTTCCCCAAAACTAAAAAAAACAACTAAATTTAACATTGCAGTTTTTGTAACCCTTCTTTGGTTAAAATGATTAACGTCTTCCATATTTTGAAAAAGTTATTTAAACTTGTGCAGAACTGTATAAGACGTCATTGTACTATAAAAGCATACTGCAATTTGCAGAACTCAAAGCATCTTTGTTAGTCCAAAAAAGGGGCTTTTATTGAAACCAAGTTGCCAAAATGATACAGTAGTTGGTACATTATCATCACAATTTGATGCAGGCTTTTCAAACAGACTTTTATAGAAAGATATAGCCAACATGTAAGTAAGCATGCCAATTTTAATGTCTAATCTATGATCACTGATTTTTACAGTATAAGGACTTATTTATAGTCAATCTTTATTTTGCAAACTCATTTATTGATGTTTATGTATCAGTAAATCAAGCTAGTGACTAAACCGTCAACTGTGTGGCCTAGTAGCATGAAAATCATTAGTTATTTAAACTGTTTGTTTATAAACCAAGCGAACAAATAACACTCACTGTATAATCATTGGAACTGTCATTCACTTCAGTTCAGCGCTCTCATCAAAAATAATGCTATGATCAACACTTTTCATGATTAGTTCATTCTTAGCAGCTGTGATATTAAAAGTGCGGTAAAGGTTTTGACATTGATTGATTGTTGTAAAGGTTTTGACATTACCCAGTCATAGCAGTGGGTGTGTACATTGAAGCCTTAAAGGAGACCCGCCCCCTTTAAACAGAGTGTTTAACTCGTATGGCTAAAATTATGGTACAAAATGGGCTTATATTTCTAAGTTATGACAGTTTTTGATGTAAAAATCCTTAACATTAAAAGTGCACTTCAGGAAGCATTATAAAATAAAAATGCAATTTGTGACTCAGTTAAAAAGAGTGTGACTCGGCACTAAAAATTTTAACCTTTCATCTTTTGTGCACCTCTTCACTTAAACGTGCGTTTAATTTGTTGTAGCCGAATCATGAGGGTTATCTGGCCTGTCTGGACATCTGGAGTATATTCCTGGACTACCTGACCACCAAGATTAGAAGCCGATTGGCTGACAGTGACAGTGTCATTAACAGGTGCGTTTCTGTGGACTTTTTGTGAGCCCAAGAATTGAGTTTAGGTTATATTAAAAACATCGCAGTAATCTGTGTCTGTGTGTGACCAGGTATAAAGACGCTCTAGTTCTGCTGCTGCGTGAAGTTCTTAACAGGATCCAGTTCAGGTTAAACCAGAGTCAGCTAGAAGAACTCGATGACGAGACCCTTGACGATGATGTAAGGATCAGTCAAACATACACCGAAGCATCAATTTTATTCTGCAGAATTTTTTGAACTTTTCCCCCCCTCTGATCTCTATAGCAACAGACGGAATGGCAGCGATTCCTGCGTCAGAGTTTGGAAGTGGTTGCCAGGGTGATGGAGCTGCTGCCGTCCCAGACCTTTTCAGTTCTGGTAGGTGTATCTGAGTGGGTGTGCGTGTACATCCTCGCTCTCTTTGTACTGAAAACAATTGACTCTTCATTGGCAAGTATAATAGGTGTTTAATATGGAAGCAAATCTGATTTAAAAACCCAAAAGCAATAATGAAGATCATGATCCGTATGAGTTTTAGAGCTGTCAGTGATATATAATTTTTGTATTTTATATAAATGTGTATATATGTATGTGTATGTATGTGTGTGTGTGTGTGTATGTGTATATATATATATATATATATATATATATGCATTTAAACTGACAGTAATCAAAAACGACCAGGTTAAAAACAGCGCAGGCAGGTTATTGCTGACAGGATGGAAATTGGTAACACAAACCTAGTGATCATCATGATATATTATCTGTAAGACAGATGCACTGAAGACGGACACAAAGAGGAGAGAATAGTCGCACAAGCAGAGAAAATACTGTACCAGACAGTACAAATTCATTGTTTGCGATGCTCGAAATACTGAAAGAAAACCATAATTATGGAATTAGGGTGGGGGTTGGATATGAATATGGATGTATTTCTGAGGAGAATTGACTGTCTTCAGAAAAGTTTCGATGGCATTTTCTTTTTCCTGTTACCTTTGTTAAATACATATTAAAGGAGTGTTAATAAGTGCAGCGCTGCATACAGCAACAACCCAGGAAACACTATATTGCTACTGTTCCAAGCGCCACCTGGTGTCAGATTGAATTTGCATTTTCATCAGAATCAGAGAGCTTTATTGCCAAGTGTTTACACACACAAGGAATTCGTCTGGTCTTCCAGTACAGAAATTAGCCTACAGACAATTTGCAGACATGCATATAATTAAGGTAATAAAACACTACTAATAATAAAGAGTAATAATAAAATATAAATTCAGCCCATCTGATGTTTTAGTTTTTTGCAGTTGCTTCATGTTACATATATTTTTGTTTGTTTGTTTAAGGTTAGTTTGGCCAGTAACCAAGCAAAATAAACATTTAATAAATGTAAAAAAAAAAAAAAAAATTGGCAATGAGTATGGGAATTGGCTCATTAGCGCCACCTGGTGTCAGATTGAATTTGCATTTTCATCAGAATCAGAGAGCTTTATTGCCAAGTGTTTACACACACAAGGAATTCGTCTGGTCTTCCAGTACAGAAATTAGCCTACAGACAATTTGCAGACATGCATATAATTAAGGTAATAAAACACTACTAATAATAAAGAGTAATAATAAAATATTAATTCAGCCCAGCTGATGTTTTAGTTTTTTGCAGTTGCTTCATGTTACATATATTTTTGTTTGTTTGTTTAAGGCTAGTTTGGCCAGTAACCGAGCAAAATAAACATTTAATAAATGTAAAAAAAAAAAAAAAAAATTGGCAATGAGTATGGGAATTGGCTCATTTGAATGTAAAAAAAAAAAATCGGCAATTGGAATCGGGTCACGATAAATCCTGATCAGTGCATCCTTAACGGGAATAGAGTTGGACCTACCTGAAAGACCTGAAAAAGCATGGTTCATTTCAGTTTTATCTTTGAACTATTGTACCTATTTGTGCAAAATGGTTATCATTTATTACAATACAATGTTACAGTCAACAATGAAAACAATAAGTCTTATTTATTGATTGATTGTTGCAAGGCCTGTGAAAATTTTGCCAGGGTAAGTAAAAAATTGAAACCACTGGCCAAACCGGGCCAGTAGAAAATGTTCTTAGCGTTAAGCCCTGTCAATACGATCAAAATCAGTATCATAACCCTTGTACACAGATCTGTAAAACATGTATAATGATATTTTGATATAATGATATTTTAAAATTAAACACTTAAAATATGTACTTGAAAAGAAAACAGAATGACTTTGAATAGCATCATTGTAAAATTGTGAGGAAGAGCTGCGCAAGTCTTGCACATGTATTTCCTGGTCTGAAAGTAACTTCCTGCTTAAACAGGAAGTAATGGATACCAAAAAAGGTAGATATGTATGTATGTGAAAGGAGAATGTATGTGTGTGAAAGTAGAAATGTATTTTATTTATAAAGCACAATAAAACAACAATGGTTGACCATTGTGCTGAACAATATAGTTTAAAAAACTTAAACAGGAAGTAATGGATACCAAAAAAGGTAGATATGTATGTATGTGAAAGGAGAATGTACAGTGGGTACGGAAAGTATTCAGACCCCCTTAAAATTTTAGAATCAAAATACATAAAATGGTAAGACAAGACAAACAAATAAGAATTAGAGATAATAAACTTCTGTTGGCTCATACACTAAAAGCCTTCTCAAAGAGGTAGGCTTTAAGCCTTGTTTTAAAAAGAGATTCTGTTGTAATTGTTCTAATAGAGATTGGAAGGCTGTTCCACAATTTAGGGCCAGCTATGGCAAAAGCCCGGTTGCCTTTTCTTTTCAGCCTTCAACTTTCAATAAAAGCTTCTGATTCGATGACCTTAGACATCTAGCTGGACTGTGTAAACTCAAAAGATCAGAAAGGTACGAAGGTGCCAGTCCATTTAAAACCTTAAAAACAAAAAGTAATATTTTAAACTCCATTTTAAAATGCACTGGCAGCCAGTGCAAAGAGAGTAGGACAGGGGTAATATGTTCGTATTTGCGAGTGCCAGTCAAAAGTCTAGCAGCTGCATTTTGTACTGTTTGTAGACTATTCATACATGATTGGTTAATACCAATATACATTGAATTGCAGTAGTCTAGTCGAGAAGAGATAAAAGCGTGTATAGCTCTCTCGAACTCGACACAAGTTAAAAAAACCTTCACCTTAGCAAGGAGTCTGAGCTGAAAAAAAAACTTGATTTAACTACTGTATTTACTTGCTTATTAAAAGTCAAAGCGGAATCAAACACAACACCCACATTTTTTACGGAGGGCTTGACATATGCAGCCAGATCACCCAGCACTTGCTGTATGTTGCCAGATACAGCTAAAGAACCGAACACAATTCTTAAACTGAACTGAACTTAATTAAAAAAATTAAGAGACATCCAGGCCTTAATATCAGACAGACAAGTAGCTAAAGCACTCAAACTCTGGTTGTCATTTTGCTTAAAAGGCACATAAATTTGTATGTCGTCAGCATAACAATAAAACGACACTTTGTGCTTATTAAAAATGGAACCCAACGGGAGCATATACAAAGAAAATAAAATTGGAGCAAGGATAGAACCTTGAGGAACTCCACAAGTCAACACTGATTTAGAGGATGAGCACCCATCCACACAAACTGAGAAAGTTATATTATTCAAGTAAGATTTGAACCATTTTAGGACAGAACCATTAATACCCACACAGTACTAGAGAAATTGAACTCAGGTGTGATAAACCACAGTTTTGACGGGGGCAAACACTTCTTCACACAGGGCCATGTAGTTTTGGATTTTGTTTTCCCTTAATAATAAAAACCTTCATTTCAAAACTGCATGTTGTTTACTTGTGTTATCTTTGACTGATATTAAAATTTGTTTGATGATCTGAAACATTCATTAAAGTGTGACAAACATGCAAAAAAAATAAGAAATCAGGAAGGGGGCCAACACTTTTTCACACCACTGTATATATATAAATAAATGTGTGTGTGTGTGTGTGTGTTTTTAGTTTCCAGTGCTCCAGGAGGATCTGGACATTTATCTTGGGCTGCAGCAGTTTATCATGAGATCAGGAACAAGTGAGTTTCTCTTTATTGTTACAATCTGAATGAGTTTTATAGATGGCTTTGTTCCAAAACCTGTAGAGCTGCATAACCAGGTAATGCTTTTAGGTATCCAAATGCAAATACTGTTCCATTAAAAGAGCCATTGTTTTGGCCAGATTTTAAGGCAGGATTGCATATATAGATAAGGCAATCCCAGAATGCATTGCGCAAAGCTCAATGAAAAATGCCATGCAAGATGTGGTGTCATTTTTACTCTGTATCCAAATGTTACTGTCTTGTATGTCTTAATGTACCAAAGCGTAAAGGGTACTTTAATGTTTTAATGTACCTGTGCTGCTCAATATTCAATCAGTTTATCAAATTAATACATCCTTGCAGAATAAAAATGTTAACTTACTGACTGCAAATTTATGAATGGTCATATACCTTCTACTGATTGCTTGAACACTTGAGCAGTCTGTAAATATATAGGTTAAGTGAGTAGTATTGTAGTGGTATCTGGTAGGGATGTAACGATTAACCGCGAGCCGGTTGAAAATCGATTCAAATATTTGACGATTCAAATCGGTTGAGATGCTAAACAAATGGCGATACAATTAGGGGTAGGAGTTTATATGAATCCATGTCTGAGGGGAACTTACTGTCTTTAGAAAAGTGTAGATGGTATTTTTTCTTTTCATCTTGCCTCTGTATAACGCATATTAAAGGCATAAGTGCAGCGCTGCTTTGTTTACAGCAGAAACCAAGGAAACGCTTTAAGCGCCACCTGCTGGCAGAGAGTGAATCTGTGTCTCATTCAGCTCATCCGCTGTTTCATGCAGATATTTTTATGTATAGTTTCACAAAACTGAAGTCACACCATTCTGTTTTTGCTTCAAATTTCGAAATTATACAATCTAATATAGATTAAAGACTACTTTGTTTGGATCAGGATTAAAATGCAGTGGTTGCCTCTCATTTTAAATGGAAAGAGCACAGACAAAGCCTTAGTTTGTTTATATGAAGAGATTTATTTTATTTGTTTTAAAATTTCAATTTAGGTTTGTTATTTACTTTTACATTATATAAAAATTTTGTTATATAGCAGACACTTTGATCCAAAGCGACTTACAAATAAGGACAATAGAAGTAATCAACAGCAACAAAAGATCAATATGTAAGTTCTATATTAGTATATTATTATCATTTTATATTTCAATTTCACAAAGAAACATGCAGCATCTTCTCCAAGCAATAATAAAAGGACACATTTAATTTATAATTTGTATTAAATGTAATTTTGTTAAAAATAAAATCGTGAATCGAGTCGAACCGTGAGTTGAGTGAATCGTTACATCTCTAGTATCTGGTCTTGTAATGTTCGCTCTGATAGTTATTAGTGGCTGTTCTGTTCTCATGTGGCTAGTGAGCTGCTGTCAGCTGTTATTGAGTGGTTTCGCACCTCTCTCTCTGTGTGTGTGCGTGTGTGCGTGCATGAGAGCAGGTCGCAGGCTGAACATCACAGCAGAGGCCGACTGCAGAAAGCTGCACTGCGCTCTCAGAGACCTGAGCTCTCTTCTGCAGGCCGTGGGGCGTCTGGCCGAGTTCTTCACAGGGGATGTTTTCTCCGCTCGCTTTAACGACGCTCTCGCCATCGTGCAGAGGTCAGTTCCTTATCGCCAATTCCTCTTTTAACAACAACACTCCCTCCTTATGTGTGTATGTTTATTGTCCTCTGTGTTTTCTCATGTTTTATGCCATTTTGTACCTCAAATTACAATATTTGTAGCGTTTTCTAAGACGTGCATCACTATGACTAGTTACTAGCCTGTAGAAAGTGCAACAGTTTTGACTTTGAATGTTGAGTGTTCACATTTATTTAATTAAATCATTGCCTTTTGAAGTTTAATAATCACATTAGGCCATACTGTGATTCCTGTTTTTCTATTTCCAAATTTAAATCCCCTTAAAGTGAGTATTAATACTTTTGCAATACCGTTTAAGTTATGAAAGACTTTTTATGGCTCCTTTAAGACTCCTATTTTTTTTCTTTTTTTACAAGGACATTTGTGTGACTTTTTCATTTCCATCAAAACTTAAACAATACTGTTTAAACTTGGCAAATTAAATTGTTTCCTTTTATATGCTGTTCAAATCCCCATTTTAATTGAAGAGAAACAGAAGTTTTAGTTTTACTTTCACAATTTGAAAGGATTTCCTTGTTTTGGCCAACACGGGGTGTCAAAGTAATATACAACTTTACATTTTTAGATCAACATCATGGTAAACATTTAGGAATTATTAATGACAGAATAATAATAGCTTGAATTATTAGTACAGAGGTGAGTGCTGTTTGGTCGAATGTTACTAGCTGACTGAAATAAGTAATGGCATTGTGTTTGTCATCTCAGATTGGTGGAAGTGTCGTGTTACGGTTCTCAGATCAGCCTGTACGATGTAGAAATGGCTGTTCCTTCAGTGCTCAAACCGGACCTTATTGACGTGTAAGTAGTCATAAACTCCGTTCAAAGTGCTGTTTGCCATCAGTTAACATAAAGGTGGACTGTTTATAATCATGCTTTAAACATCTCTTTATTGCAGGCATGCACAGTCATTGGCTGCTCTGCAGGCGTATTCTCATTGGCTGGCTCCGTTTTGCGGGGAGGTGCAGCGACAACAAGAGCAAACGCAATTTGTGGACCTCATCAGATCGAGCATGGCCGCCACGACCCCTCTCATCAATGCCAAGGTGATTTGATCTTTATGAATGATAATTTATGAATGATCTTCAAAGCTCATTTAAACTTGTAATTGCAAGTTTAAAACACTCAAAACATGTTTTGTTCAATATATATGCATGCATATTGAAATTGTACAAATATATCATTACATATGAATTAGAGGTCAATCAATATTTGATTTTGCTGATAAAGTGAAGGCAGTGAAAAACATTATTGTGCCAATACTAGTAAAATCGATCTATTTAATGTGTGAAGGTTCTTATGGTGCGTCTTGTTCTCCTGGGAATTTTGTATTTACGAGGTGAGAAGTCGTAATTATGACATTGGGTGCATTCTTGGCATTTTGTTGGAGCAAGATGGCGACAACATTTTTTTTTTTTTAGCTCTACTTTTACTAAATGATAAATAATGTGCATTAGTGTTTTTACTTGTAGTTTATGAAGGTGCTGTAATTTGAATTGTCATATATCTCAATTGTTTGATATTATCATATTTTGTACATGTAACTTAGTTTTATTGTACGTAACAAAATAATTTAAACAAATTTAGTCAATACAGACACTGCATCCATTGCTCGAGTTTCCCCAATGCATATAATGCAGGACTTCTAATTATAAACAAGCCTAAAATACTCATTTAGAGAGGTAACACTTCTCCGGGAAAGTCAGACCTCTTGTTTGCGGGACAGCACTGGCGAAATCTTCCAACTGAACCATAGTTGACTACAGTGCAACAGTGAAAAATAACTTTTTTCAAACAGTGTCGCATTCTGAACGTTGTTTAAGTGACATACACCGTGTATTGCGGTATTTAAAAAATTTATATCATAACAAAAATAAACACCGGTATTCGGTATGAACCGGTATACCGCAGAACTTTTTTCAAACAGTGTCGCATTCTGAACGTTGTTTAAGTGACATACACCGTGTATTGCGGTATTTAAAAAATTAATATCATAACAAAAATAAACACCGGTATTCGGTATGAACCAGTATACCGCCCAGCACTACTGAAAATTCAATTTTTAAATCTTAAAACAGAAAGTTATTTTAAATTGTAATAATTTAAATTGTAATAGTTTCACAACATTACTGTTTTACTGTATTTTTCAACCAACATACCAGAAAAATGTCCAGGAAAAGAAATAATGCATTTTATGCAGGAATTTTACATTTTAACAACCTGAAATACACTGGGACTCTAATTTTGAAATGAGTATGTTTTGCTACTACCAGCTCCTCTTTCAAACCGAAAAGGGAGATAAAATATTACAATATAAACACCATAAAGTAAACACTCATAATTCATTCAGTCATGAAGTCTTCATATCAAGGTTTTTAGTACTAATGTCCATTGCTATATATTTAGTTGGTGGGTTGTCTTGAAACTAAAACATTACTCTGTGTGTTAAGGTTTACAGTTTCACTAGATTGTTAGGTTTATTCTGTTCAAACCCGGTTTTCCCTCATTCTTTGACTCTGGGGAAAATGCTAATCTGCCTGATCTCTGTGTGCTGCAGGTTCCAGAGAAATTGCTCTTATCTGCGTGCCATCTCCTGGTCTCCATGGCGACCACCGTGCGACCGGTGTTCCTGGTGTCGCTGCCGGCGGCGCAGAATATCTTCAGCCTGATCACGGAGAATCATAACCACAGATTACCTCAGGAGGTGGGTTTATGTTGGTCGGTCTTTGGAAAACAGGACAACGTGGCACAGTTTGTACTTGGCTCCAGCTGTATTTGTTTGTGATGTAATGTTTGTTGTTTTTGTCCCAGGCTCACGTCCTCGTGTGTCGAGCTCTGTCAAACATGCTGCTGTTGCCGTGGCCCAGTCTGCCGGAGGCGGAGCAGCAGTGGCAGAGCCGCTCAGCCAATCACACGCGGCTTCTCAGCAGTCTGACGCAGCAGTACCGCCTCCTGCCCCGCCCACCCAGCCATCACCCCAACAGTAAGGCCCAAACCCAATTCTACCCCTTAGCCCTTCCCCTTTCCCCTACCCCTCCGTTTCGTGCGTTCACGTGAAGGGGTAGGGGTGTCTCGATTCTCTTTTGGTTGGAGGGGTAGGGGAAGGGCCAGATAGCCCTTCAAACGAAGATTTTTCGGGACCACACTTCAAACGAAGGGGTATGAATTATCTCAGCGTAAACCGGCTTCAGGGGCAACATGGCTGCCCGAGCGAACAAAAAGACACATAAATGTAAGCATTTTTGGCATTAATAAAGATTTCAACGAAAAGTAGTCATTTGTTTTATGTTACATTCAATCGTGAGTTCATATTTATGGTCATGTTACTCAAAGAAACTAACGTCATATCATTATAGACTGCACGATAGTGCCACAACATATTTTCATGTCTGATCAGGGCGATAACCACCGTAGACATTGAGGGGGGCTAGTCCCCCCAATAATTAGAAATCGCTAAACCCTTTTCTCAAATATTGCCAATTAGAGAGAGAGAGAAAGAGAGAGAGAAATGAAAGTTGCGTCTATGCGTTTCTCTTTTTAGAGTGGGTTTACTTAAAAAAAAAAAAAAAAAAAACCCCCCCCCCCCCCCTATTATTATTATTATGATGATGAAAGCATTTCTTTCTAATTTTTCCACGTTTCATCAGATGGCCTCACAATGTCCTGACAAAAGCTATAAGAGGCATGACTTAAGAATAGAAAACGGTGGACTGTTATTTTCACCCCTACCCCTTGACACTCTGTTTCAAGAGACAAGGGTAAGGGGTAGGCGGAGGGTTAGGGGAAGGGGAAGGGGAAGGGGTATAAAATAGAATTGGGACTGGGCCTAAGAGCAACCAACAGGGTCTGGCTGCAGACTTGCACTTCCACAATTTACGTCACTTGCAGTCTTTTTTTATTTTGTTCTATTTATTATTTATTTTTTGTTTGAATCTCTCAACATATTACAACCATAGCCAGGTGGTGAAGACAAGAAAAAAGAAACTAAATTACGAGGTCAATTGCAATCGCCACTTGCACTCTCCGATACCTGCGACGTCACTTGCAATCGACACAAATCGGTATGGGAGGAAAATACAATACACATTCATTATATTAATAAACTGTATATTGAATTTGATATTTTAATACAGGGTGGCCGCGGGTCCTTAAAGTCTTAAAATGTCTTCAATTCAGATTCAGTAGGTCTTAAATATTTTTGGTCACATTACCACAAAAATGTCTCCAGTCTGACGGACCCAGTGAGTGTCCATCAAGAGTACTCAATCAAGAGGATCCATTTTGCTGAATATTTTCACGATTGCAAATGTTACATTGATTTTAGTTCAACAAACAAGTAGTAAAGTTTATGAAGTTACTTACATTTTTAGACACAATTGACTGTTTTGTTCTATTTCACCAACGAAAATAGTTCCAAACAAAGATCAGAACAGAATTATTGCGCACATTCTCCAAGCCACACCCGGCATCTTTGTTACTGAATGATTCAGAGGTTTGAAGGAATCGGTTGAATGAATAAGTGACTTACCGCCACCTACTGGTGGTTTAGTCTCATGCTTAAGTATGCATTTTTCCCCAACATTTCTTATTTGTATGTTCAAAATTGTATTTACAACATTAATCCCATAACATTATTTATTGCTGTTGTAATTTTGTAATTATTTAATTTGATTGGTAACAGCCCTGTAGTGTATTAAATTTCTTGATCAATTGTAAGAATTTGACTTGAAAGATGTCAAATTTAATAAGGTAAAAATAAACATATTGGCCTTTATAAAGGTAAATGACATCCTGTGGTAAATATTAAAACCATGCAGATTTAAGTATGTAAAAGCTGACGGAAAACTGATGAAAATACTGCTTCAGAATAAATTGTTTACACCACCAAAAATCTCTGTTATGCGACACCTTTTGTTTAGTGGGAATATTTTGTATGGGATATTGTCTGCTGATATGAAAAGTTCACTGTATATCGTAATAACAAATATAATTTGACAGCGATGATATTTTGTTTACTTTTTACATTTAAACGCGTTAAATATTACATATACATATGTAATATAATGTGTATTTCCATCACAGGCTTGGTCTTAAATTTCACATAAGGTGGTATTAAAAAGGTCTTAAATTTAACTTGTTCATATCGGTAGACACCCTGTAATAGCATCTTAATACATTAAGCCGTATTAAGTGTTTGTTTTTCTACAGGAGGAAAACGCTTAACAAGAGACTTTGTGCATTGCGTTCGTATTCTGCTGTTCTGTGGCCACGGATTTGCGGGTCTTGTCTTTTTCTTGCAGGACCCTGTACGTTATAGTAGGCTACTAAGTTAGTTTTAATCGTTTAATCACCACCACAGCGTCTTGTCTCCATTGGCAACACGCACGATTTGTGTCGATTGCAAGTGACGTCGCAGGTATCGGAGAGTGCAAGTGGCGATTGCAATTGACCTCGCTATTTTAAATTGTAATAGTATTTTGCAATATTACGGTTTTTACTATATTTTTCATCAAATTAAATACAGACTTGGTGAGCATATGAGACTAATTAAAAAAAAACATGAAACAATTTTACTACATATTAGCAACCCCAAATTCACTCACTCACTCATTTATTTATTTAGTTACTTGCGTACTTGGTTATTTCCTTAATTTTTTTTTTAAGTTGAGCGTTTATTTTGAAATATTTTTTTTATTTGAATTCAATATTGTGATCAATTCAAAATGTCCTTGCTGCTGAATAAATGTAAAATGAATGGCTCAAAATATGCTGATATGTATATTGGCAAAAAGATGAAATTCTGAAAGCTTATAATGTAAATCAATACAATTTTACAACACTATAGCAGACTGCTTTCATGAAATACATAAAATGCATAAATATCAGTTGTCACTCTATATTACCCAGTAATATGTCCGAAAAAGATGACATTTAAATGCTTAATTTTATGTAGCACAAATACACAAACATACGGAAGTTCTAAGCGGCCATGCATTATTTATTTTTTTCCTTCTTGTTTTCTCGTTATATCGACATATGGAGAGTTGTTTTCTCGTTATAACGACTTAATTTTCTCGTTATATCGACATAACGAGAGTTGTTTTCTCGTTATAACGACTTCATTTCTCGTGATCTCGACATAAAAAAAGTTGTTCTCTAAGTTACAAAACTGCGCCAACAGATGGCACTATTGACCTGAATATAACTGATGGGGTGTTGTAGGCTATACTGTATGTCCACTTTACGCGTTTGGGATAGAATAGGACCTACCTCGTGATCGCTATAATTTGTACAGTATTGTTCATTAGGCTACTGACATTTAATTCATTCATAAATGTTAAATGCTTGAATCAATATGACTATTTTGTGTATTAATGCAAAACATTTAATAAATTAGCATCTACAAGACAAATGCTAAGTGTTGTTGGGCAGAAACATTAAATACAAACACTGTTATCTTCTCATCATCTTAAGAATAAAAATGGTTTCATTCAAATCAAAAAGGGTTTTAGCGATCTAAAGGTCTCTTAACATTCCTCTTTCTGGAAGTTTTTTGTAATTTGCTGATCTTGGTCTCTGTGTTCGGCAGCGTTCCTGTCCAGATGTGAAAGCCGAGATGTTCGAGCTGCTCTTTCAGATTCTCCATCAGAACTGGAGGTTCTTCTTCAAGAGCTCAGTGTTGAGCAGCGTTCAGAGAACCGGAGCAGAAGAACTGATGGAGAACCAAGCGCAGTTCATCGCTGCCATGCAGGTATCAACTGCCCTAAAAACATGTCTGCTTTGTAGAAGCATCAAGCAGTGACATCCCTTCCATACTGATCTGATTCAGAGATTGATTGATTCATTATGAAGAACCACACCAATCAACCGTTTCAGTGTGTGTGGAGTCAGCACAGACAACGCAATGCAATGTTTTTGGCTTTTATAGTCTGGATATTATTCAGTGTTTCCTAGAATGTTGTTTCATACAATTCAAGCTTCAGTTGCGGCTCTGGAAATGCTGTTATGTATTTGATTTGCAGGCATTTGGTCAGTCTTTTCTGCAACCGGACATTCACATCTTCAAGCAAAACTTGAGTTACCTCGAGGTCCTGAACACCAAGCACAAGCTGTACCACAGGGTAAAACTAACTTACTAACTTTCTTTTTCTAATTACATTTTTTTATTTGATGGATATATAAATTAAAAACACTTTCATACTTAATATAAATTTTAAAGTAAACATATTTTTATATAGTATTATATATTTTAATTTTATTTATATTTAAAAATATTTAAATTTAATTATTCATTTATATTTCATATCAATAAAAATTTAAATGTTATTTAATATAAATAAAAATTGAATTAATATTTAATAAATTAAAAAGTAAACTTCTATTTAATATAAATATTATTCATATAAATTAAAATATATATAGATATATCTTTTAAAAATGCACTGGTATTTATTATAAATTAAAAACAAAACTATTTAAAATGTTACATTTTTATATAATATGCAAAAAATGTTTAATTTCCATTTTATATAAAAAAATTCATTTAACTCAGAACTCATTTAATACAAATAAAATTGAACGTATATATTGAAGATAAATTAAAAAATAAACATTAAATGAGTTTGTAATTTATATTAAGTACAAGTTTAATTTAATGTGAGGTAAAAAAAAATTCTTTATATTATAAATTATAAATAAAAATTATTTAATACAAGTAAAAATTAAACTAATATTTAATATAAATAAAAAAGGAAACTTATATTAAATATTTAATTTCTCTTTGTTTTATAATAGGTGTAATGTATTTATTTAATTCAAATGGATTTAGTTTTATGTTTTGATGTGTGGTTACGTGTTCATTTCAGAAGCTGTTCCGGAACACCATGCTGTTCCACTTCATAAATGTTCTCCTGCAAGTCCTCCTGCACAAGAGCCACGACCTCCTCCAGGACGACATCACGCTGGCGCTCTACAACATGGCGGCTGTGGATTTCCCAGCATTCTACTCTTCCTTCTTGCCAGAGTTCCTCAATGGCTGCCAAGGCCTCGACCCCCACCAACGCACAACGCTTGCCCGAAACTTCACGCCAGAGAGGGTGAGTCAACCTGACTGATGCCATTAATACCTGAAGCTCTAATTACGTGAGCAAATTGTGTTGTTTTTACAAATGTGAAGCGCTGGAACATAATCTGGCTTTTTTTGACATTGCTCTGATACCTCAGATATACAGTATATTTTAATGCAAAAATTAAAAGGGGAAAAAATAAGTGATTATTTGCACCAAGAAAATTCAGGCAGTTTTAGGAAACCTTGTTTTAACCTTTTTTTATTTAATTAAAATCAGCATAAATTAAAGACCGATACTATATGTATACTGAATATGTTAGTAATTGTGTGTGTGTGTATTTATTTATTTTAGGGCTGTCAAGCTATTTACATTTTTTTTTAAATCTAATTAATTACACGATGTGCCGATTAATTAATCTAATGAATTGTAAATGTTGTTAATTACACAGTTTGGGCTAAGAAATTAAAAGGGAAAAAATTTGATTGTAAGTTGCATCGAGAAAGGCTATTTTAGGAAACTTTGTTTTAACAGTTTTTATTTGATCAAAATCAGCCTAAATTAAAGATGTGTGTGTGAGAGAAATATGCTAAACAATAATTATTATATAATTATTTTGTGTATAATGCACATTATGTATACATATACACCCCCCACACACTTTACATGGTACACAATTGTTTTATTTATTTTTATTGTTATTTTCTTTTACCTGAGCTGAAACTTCTGAATAGTCCTAAAATAGGCTTCATTTTCTTTGAGCAATTTTATTTTTTGGAATGTGGATTTAAATATGAGCAGGGCGTTTTATCAGATTCACCTGTACACAGACTTGTCCCATTCACTCAGTTTGGATGGTGTCTTGGGTTCAGTCGCGCAGCGTGAACCGTGTTTTAACACGCGAGTCATGTCTTGTTTCTGTCTCTTCCGCCCCTCGCAGGACCTGCCATCGTTTTCTCAGGGAGTGTATCGCATCGTGAACGACCTGCGCTTCTACAGACTGTGCAATGGAAGCCTTCCTCCGGGAACTTTGAAATTATAGCAGCGCATCACCGCTCAGCCAAACCACGGCCCATCCTCCTCAAGGACGCCGATCACTGCTTCGGTGGTCATGTCTCGCCTTTCGCCAGGGGCCGGCCTTGAGATCTCAGCGACGGCGTGCTCCGAGAGCTGCTGGGCTTCGTTCCTCAGCTTCTTTTATGTTTATTTCAGCTAGATTTTACACATTTGCCAATGATCAAGAGGCCAAAGCTGCTGTCGAGAAACTCGTCCCAAATCAGCTGATGCGATTCAGAGTGCTGCGAATCGGAGCAGTGCGTTGCCCATTGCTTGTTGTTTTAAAAGGACTGGTGTAATGGAAAGCACACTTTTGTTGACGTGAACAGATGGCGTTTGAAATGCAGTGGTGTGGAGTTGAACGAACTCATCTCAAGACGGTTTCAGTGTGTGAAGCATCACTGGAGTTCTCAATGGTTTTAAAGTGAACATTGAGCACTGAATTGTTCTTTCTCTTAAATTGTCTGGTTTTATTTTTCTCTCCTTATTTCCACGGAGATGGACTCAAACATCTTTTTCATATCATTCCATCCTGATCCAGGACAAACAAACCTTCAATAAAGTTTTATAATGAAATGCATTCTTTGTCTTTCTCATTTTGTTACTTTTGTTGTCTTGTTTCTCCACATAAGGGCTACACACACACAAGCGACAGAATTTTTTGCATCTTAAGTCTTCATATATATATGTGTGTGTGTGTGTGTGTGTGTATGTATATATTGCCTATGTTCATTTATAGACCCTGTTTGTGCCGACGTCACAATTACGTCACAGAGCTAGCTGGAGGGAAAACAAAGGGAAAACTGGAGGCGGTCAAGTCAAACCTGCGCAGATTAGGCTATATGAGTTTAAAATATCAACTTGTGTTGTTGGGTGCCAGAATTGACGTAGTACAGGCTACAATTAGAAATTTTTACGCATACCTGCTGCCACTGCCAGACAAAAAAAAACGATGATAGTTGTGGATAAACGAGAAAAAGCGAGCGGACTGGACAGAAACTGTCGTCAAAAACGCTCGCATTTGCAGCGCACACTTATCAAAGTATTGTCTTTTCACGTCTAAAGATTTCTTATGCATCTCACTACTATCAAAGACTATAGAAAGAAGGGACTTTGCTACTATGCATGTCTTGTATGAAATACTGTCTGTGTGCATGTGTGTAAAACAACAAACTGACGATTTATGTTTAATCATTTGTAATTGTATATGCTTTGTGATTGATTGTGGCTGGACTATTTAAGAACTTGGTAAGAAAGAATAATCAAATACAGAATGTTCAAAATTAGTTTCTTGGAATTTTAGCATCACTGGAGTTCTCAATGGTTTTAAAGTGAATATTGAGCACTGAATTGTTCTTTCTCTTAAATTGTCTGGTTTTATTTTTCTCTCCTTATTTCCACGGAGATGGACTCAAACATCTTTTTCATATCATTCCATCCTGATCCAGGACAAACAAACCTTCAATAAAGTTTTATAATGAAATGCATTCTTTGTCTTTCTCATTTTGTTACTTTTGTTGTCTTGTTTCTCCACATAAGGGCTACACACACACACAAGCGACAGAATTTTTTGCATCTTAAGTCTTCATATATGTGTGTGTGTGTGTGTGTATATGTATATATTGCCTATGTTCATTTATAGACCCTGTTTGTGCCGACGTCACAATTACGTCACAGAGCTAGCTGGAGGGAAAACAAAGGGAAAACTGGAGGCGGTCAAGTCAAACCTGCGCAGATTAGGCTATATGAGTTTAAAATATCAACTTGTGTTGTTGGGTGCCAGAATTGACGTAGTACAGGCTCCAATTAGAAATTTTTACGCATACCTGCTGCCACTGCCAGACAAAAAAAAACGATGATAGTTGTGGATAAACGAGAAAAAGCGAGCGGACTGGACAGAAACTGTCGTCAAAAACGCTCGCATTTGCAGCGCACACTTATCAAAGTATTGTCTTTTCACGTCTAAAGATTTCTTATGCATCTCACTACTATCAAAGACTATAGAAAGAAGGGACTTTGCTACTATGCATGTCTTGTATGAAATACTGTCTGTGTGCATGTGTGTAAAACAACAAACTGACGATTTATGTTTAATCATTTGTAATTGTATATGCTTTGTGATTGATTGTGGCTGGACTATTTAAGAACTTGGTAAGAAAGAATAATCAAATACAGAATGTTCAAAATTAGTTTCTTGGAATTTTTATCTCTAGAAAATATTCCCATCTTAAAGGACACATATTATGCCCCTTTTTACAATATGTAATATGTCTCTGGTGTCCCCAAAATATGTCTCTGAATTTTCAGCTCAAAATACTCCACAGATCATTTATTAATATCATTTTGAAAATGCCTATTTTGAGTGGAAGCAGAAACATGCTGTTTTTCGTGCCCGTTTCTTTAAATGCAAATGAGCTGCTGCTCCCCACCCCCTTTTCCAGAATAGAGCTGCACCATTACAGCTCGTACCTGCTAAAAACATCTGTTTTGGTTCTGATTATCGTGATTATTGTGCTGAAATCATGTGTTTTAAGCCATATGAGTTTAAACTTCTGATATACGGTTTTCTGAGCGCACACATCCGAAGCACACGGACAGAAAGCGGCTGTCACAGCATGCGAGTACTAAACTAAGTTCTCATTCACACACAAGTTTACATAAGTTAAAAACACACGAGTTACAAAAACAGTCGGTTATGTCTGTGAAGGTAAACAACTGGGAAATAAATCCACTGCTCTGTTGTCTCCTCTGAGGCTGGGACTGTAAACAGTGTTCTGTACTCATCTGTGCAGCCAAAGACAGAACACTTAGCATGTTCTGCTCAAACTTTCGCCATGGCATTAGAGCTGGTACACCGTTGTCGCTTGCGAAATCAAATGATGGTGCCATGGGTGGAAACTTACAGATTAAGGGGCGGTAATATCATAATGCCCTTTGCCACGTCACCAAGGGAGTGAAATCAGATTCGCTTGTTTTCTCAGACGCTTGCAGAAAAAGGCTTCCCAAAACAAAGTTACTGGGTTCATCTTTTTCACGTTTCCTTGGTTGGTAGATGCCCCGGGGACCTGATTATAGCACTTAAAACCTGGAAAAGTCTGATTTTCATGATATGTCACCTTTAAATATACTGTATGTAAATGTAGTACTGTAATGTCACTGTAAACTTGCATTACAGGACGTACAGGCTTTAAAATAACTATTTGGCCACATGATAGGCCTACATACATCTTCAAATATTATAGTCCTATCCATCACATTAAATGTTAAAAAGTTAAAAAATGATATTGAGCATCACAACATTTACTTAAAGGGGGGTCATATGATGCGATTCCCATTTTTCCTTTCTCTTTGGAGTGTTACAAGCTCTTGGTGCATAAAGAAGATCTGTAAAGTTGCTAAGACTAAAGTCTCAAATCCAAAGAGATATTCTTTATAAAAGTTAAGAGTCAGCCTAAAACGGCTCGTTCTAACACGCCCCCACATGTCTACGTCACGATGGGGGGAGATTTGCATAACGCAGCCCAAATGTTCACGCAAAGAAAGGAGTAACTTTTATTCTCAACGTAGTATTGTTGTTGCCGCCGCCATGTCGTGAAGGCGCTGTGTGTGTCGTTGTGAAAGCGAAACTACTTTGTTTGGTCTTTCAAAAGAGGACGATGTCCGCTTCGTCATGCCTAGAGCTGATCCGTGCTGGTTGCTGAGGAAATACAACAACTTTGCGCTGTGGATCACCGGATCGGCTTTCACCGTGGACGAAGCGGAGTCCAGCCCGGGGTCGTCACGTGTGGTTGCCGCAAGCCTCCTTCGTCGAATCCGCTGGCCGCGCCGTTCTCAAGCCCACCTGCCTCTGCTCACTCTAGCTCCAGCTGGCCAATCACAGCACACCTCGCTTTTCAGACCGATGAGCTTTGTAAAAATCGGCGTGTTTCAGAAAGGCGGGGCATAGAGGAGAAACAATAATGTACAGTATGTGGAAAATAATGTGTTTTTTGAACCTTAAACCACATAAACACATTTCATTACACCAAATACACAAAATAATGTTCTTTTTAGCAGCATCATATGACCCCTTTAATATTGCGCGCACACACACACACACACAAAGCTGTTAATGGTCTTAACCAAATTACTGGTAAGGAAATTAGCAAGAATTAAGCAAATGCACTCCTTAAACATTAGACAATATTCAGCAGTTATGCTACTACGAAATGTTAATATTTTAATTGTATTTTTATCTAGCCCCCGATAGTTAAAATAACTATGTACAACTTGAATAAAGCTCAAAGAATAATCATCAGTTATGCTAGTAGCCTACCTAGCCCCCGATAATATAATCACGTACAACTTGAATAAAGCTGAGACAATAACCAGCGGTTATGACCAGTACTAGGCTTAGTATGCTAAAGTCAAGCAGCTAGTCAGAAATCTAAATTCTCACCTGATGTGCCCTATGCTTCATCTAACCTGAGATCTAGTATGCACTGGATGCAGATTTGCAGAAACATAGCCTTCACTTAATCTACTTGAGAAAATTATTTCAGAGTAATCAGAATAAATTCAAACATAATTAACCAGTATAATCAAGATACTAATTCAAGCATTATATCATTCAATAATAAAGTGTTATAGCGAAAACTACACACAGCAATTGTGTGGGAGATCTGTCTACAGATTGCTTGATCTCTTTGTCACTCTCCCTTAAATATATATATATATATAAAATTTTTTTAAAAAAACTTACCAAATGGTAGGCTACTATTGCAGGGGTTTTAGCATATCACTTTTGGGGGTTGCAAGTGATTAAGATTTCTGTGGGAGGTATATGTATTTCATTTACATAGGCTACAGGAGGTCATTTGTGTGAAAGACCTGGGAGTAGTCGGTTTTCAATATTCATGGCTGTCTGTTCTATTGTTAAGAGAATGAGACATTTTTATCAGACACACACAGACCTTTCAAACAACATCAAACAGCTGCATTGTTTTCATTAACTCTGCTTAGGAAAAGTGGTTTTGGTGATCTCTGTAATGTCTTGTGTTCAGATGGAAATGAGGGGAGAGTGAGTAAAGGGAGTGGATCTGGAGCATCATACATAAGGTGTGAAACTTTTGTCTCTCTCAGTTGGGTGTGTTGTCTTTAATGAAGGTCTTGTGAGACCGCTAGAGTTCAGGTGTTGATTCTTGTTAAGAGTTCTTTTGTCTTTTCAGGCTGTGGTCCAGACAAATGGCATCAATCTTACAGTGATGAATCATGATGAATTGCATGGTGTTGCTCCACACTCTTAAAAATAAAGGTGCTTCAAAAGGTTCTTCAAGCGATGCCATAGATAGAAGAACCATTTTTGGTTCCACAAAGAACCATTCAGTCAAAGGTTCTTTAAAGAACCATCTCTTTCTTACCTTTTTATAATCTGAAGAACCTTCTTTCACCACAAAGAAGCTTTTGTCAAACAGAAAGGTTCTTCAGATGTTAAAGGTTCTTTATGGAACCATTTAGACAAAAAGGTTCTTCTATGGCATCGTGAAGCACCTTTATTTTTAAGAGTGCAGAGTGGTGTTTTTGAATATCTGATGAGAAATACAATAATGAATGCATCTCTAGCACAGTGAAGCATGGAGGAAGATGTGTGCGAGGAGGGAGAAGTGTTGTGATGTGAGGAGCCTTTCAAGCTGCTTCACTGTGAAGTCAATTGATGCTTTGGAGTGTAAGATTGCAGAATGGCTTGCTTGTCACAATTGAAACGTTATCAAAAGAGGAGCAAACAGACGTGTTCTCTCTCGCTCTCTCTCTGCCCACATTGCAAAGACGTGGCTTGAGAACAAGTTCATCAGGCTCATGTTTGGTCTGGTCAGAGTCCAGTTTTAACCCCCAATAAAGAATATTTTGGTCTCCCATTAATTGTGACTGCTCTAAACCTGAAACATTTCTCATACATTTCACTTAAAATGATCATTCATTTTCATTACTGGCTAAATCAATTAACACTAAAGTGATAATTGGTAATACAAAGCTTTGCTTGCTGAATAAGTAAAATCAATATTGACCATATATCTGTTCTCCTTTCATCACCATGATAGTAACAGAAACTATTCTGAAGTAGCATAGCAAAGCATTAAACCCTATTAAATGTCCCACTGAACATTAACTTTGAGAAGAAAAAACCCATTATACAACTCGATTTGAGCATTTACTTCTACCTTTTGTGTGTCATGGCAAAGCATGCGGGGAAACATAAAGCCCAGCCCAGTTTTGGTAAAATTTATGTTGGTCTAAATGAAAAGAAAAAAGTGAATTAATATCAAAACAATGAAAAAATTCTGAAAATGTTTCATGAACTCAACAGAAAGTTCTAAATACTCATAAAAGTTCATTTAATTGAACTAATTTAAGTTTGCCCTGCTCAAATCGAATAATTCTTTTGAACATTAGGGTTTACATGAACTGTCTGAAGCCATCAGTATTGAGTGGAACAACATTGACTGTTCTTTCTGTAAAAAGCTGTCTGTACGTTTACCCACACAGCTTAAACATTTAGAGAAAACAAACAGAAGGCTATCCTGTACTTTATCCACAGCATTTACAGTATTTGTGCAATTCTTTCCTGAACAGTGATTTGTGGGATAAATGTGTGCCCACCTTTGTTTTTCGCCTTGCAAAAGTATTAATACCCCTTCTTTTTTAATTTTGACATTTTATGTTGCTGCCTTATGTTAAACTTCACATCAGTCTATACTTCATACACCACAATGACGAAGCAAAAAACTTAAGATTGTAAAGTGTTCCTGGCAAACCTTCTATTCAACTTGTCATTCCAGTGGGACGTCCCTGGGAATCTGTTTACATCCGCTTCATGTGGAGGCAAGTTCTTTTTAGACTCTTTTCTTGTTTCTGGAATTTACACTAAAACAAATCTTGACATCGTTTACATTGCAACCTCTATCATAAAACCCCTAAATCAAAAATGGAATTTGTTTAAGTTCGATCAGCCGTAAAATTTACGGTAAAAAAACGGCAGCTGTGGTTACCGGAATTTTACCGTAAAAAATACGGTAGCAACGTTTTAGGTTTTGCGGTTTTAACTTAAATTTACAGTTAAATACCGTAATTTAATTTGATATAATGTTAATATACCAACCTATTGAAGTACTGAAATCTGTTTTGTATCTTTGTAATACACTGATAACCACCAAATGCAGGTGGTGATGAGAAAGTCACATGATGAACCAATGCCCATCACAAGCAGCTTTTAAATAATAACAAATATAGAAGGTGCACAGCGTCATTCACACAAACACTAAACACCATCATGGTAACACACATGAAACTGAAATAATGCAATAAACATTCATTTAACAACATTAGGTGTAACACTCAACCCTAATATACAAAACTGATAAGAAAAAACTAAGAAGAAACATAGTTATTTCAACAAAAAAACAAAATTTGAAATGTAACGCAGGGAATTCTGGGAATGTCAATTTACGGTTATTCATTGTAAATTATACGGTATTTTTCACTTCCAAAAACGCTATACTACCGTAAAATTGATGTCCAATACATGTAATGTCCAATACAGTTTTTCACCGTATATAGTAGGGGAATTTACCGTTAACCATTTAACAGGCTTTTACTGTAGCATTTTTACAGTCTTTTACCGTTAAATTCACGGTCATTTTTTACAGTGTAGATTATTTAACTGATTGACAAATAAAGCACATTTTAGACAGCTGTAGGCCTACTGTGGTAAATGAGGGACACTTACAGTACATTCCATCACTGATGGTGGGTTTACGTTTACTGAAGGAAGATATGTCAGCTGGGTTGAATTTCATGTAGGCCTAATTTTGTCAAATTCTCTTCTTAATATCTCCATCTCACTCATTATGATACCCTTTCTATGTTGTTTGTCTCACATTATCAGTGATCAGGGCCAGTTATACAGTTTTCTGTTAGCAGTTAATGTGATTGGAATCGCCTGTTTGAAGTCTGTTCTGTGTGTGTTTGTTCTCCTGCAAAGATGAACATTTATTGTTTTGTCTCTCTGCCAGCCATCGATTTAAGTGTTTGTCCTTCGACCTATAACTTCACTTTTAGGACAAATAGCTGAAAAGTTCAGACAGAATCTGACAAAACCTGTATATAGGCTTTTTATACTATAGAACAATACTATATTTTAGTATAGAACTATAGCATTTTTACAGTCTTTTACCGTTAAATTCACGGTCATTTTTTACAGTGTAGATTATTATTTAACTGATTGACAAATAAAGCACATTTTAGACAGCTGTAGGCCTACTGTGGTAAATGAGGGACACTTACAGTACATACCATCACTGATGGTGGGTTTACGTTTACTGAAGGAAGATATGTCAGCTGGGTTGAATTTCATGTAGGCCTAATTTTGTCAAATTCTCTTCTTAATATCTCCATCTCACTCATTATGATACCCTTTCTATGTTGTTTGTCTCACATTATCAGTGATCAGGGCCAAAGTTATACAGTTTTCTGTTAGCAGTTAATGTGATTGGAATCGCCTGTTTGAAGTCTGTTCTGTGTGTGTTTGTTCTCCTGCAAAGATGAACATTTATTGTTTTGTCTCTCTGCCAGCCATCGATTTAAGTGTTTGTCCTTCGACCTATAACTTCACTTTTAGGACAAATAGCTGAAAAGTTCAGACAGAATCTGACAAAACCTGTATATAGGCTTTTTATACTATAGAACAATACTATATTTTAGTATAGAACTAACGATATATTTATAAAACAAAGCGTTCATTCAGTTCCATAAACGCTCCGTTTTTCTTTAGCTGGCCTCTTCGGGTTGTGTATATCTTTCATGGCTCTCCAAACAGGAAATGGTGTTAATTAAGAGGTTGTGTTTGACCGGTAATCTCACTATAATTTGCGTTTCTTCCCCCCATGATAGACGCACGCACGCCTCATCGGGACACACTATAAGATAGGACGCGTGACTTTGACCTGTCAGGTGAATGACCGCGCGCTTGCGTGCGTAACGGTCCGGGGTTAAAAGCATCGGACCGCTCATAAGTTTTGGAGTAGTAAAAGCGCTACTCGGTGAAGGTTTGGGACGCATTTGACCTGGAAATGATGGCCGCGCGATTTGCTCTCTGCGTCCACGTCGCGCGAGCGGCCACACGGAGCTCCACGCGCGTTTTGGGACAAGGACTCGCGCGCAGCCTCAGCAGCGACACAGGTTTGCTCACATCCATCTCTCCGTGTTTCCATCCCAGATCAGGACAGAACTGGCGAAGAAACAGATGTGAATGCAAAACGTTCAACTGAAGGAGAAGGTTTGGGTCAGGGATGAATAGAAGTATCACGATAATGCATGTTCTTCGACGTTTACCACTGAAAACACCGTCCCAACATTCTGGCAAGGTTCCCTCAGAGATATAAACAGACTCTCTTCCAGTAACGTTAATGGTACGTTCGTTTCAATTTGATCTGGTCTGAGATATCGCTCTCAAAACGTTATTATTTATGGAACGTTTTCTGAAACATTTTTGTTGGGCGTTCGAATAGCGTTTTTTTTTAGTGTTAGCTTACTAACGTACTTATTAGACTCACATGGTTCAGAGAACATTCAAAAGTAGCATTCCCATAATGTTTGCACAACTATGCAAAATGAAACATTATTGTCTCTCTAACATAGGCTACACATAACCAGAAAACACTCAACATTTCCATAACGCAATGAGAACGTTAGCAAAACGTTCTGGGAGCACATTTTAGTTAGCGGGGAAATTTATGGACCGTGTTGCCAACCTAGCAATTTTGTTGCTAAATTTAGCAACTTTTCAGACTACCCTAGCAACTTTTTCTTCCAAAAGCACCTAGCAACAAATTTAGCTATTTTTAAATTTTATTTGGCTACTTTTAGTAACTTTTGGTAAGTGACTCAAACAATACAAAGGCACACATTTTCCATCTAAATTTCACAAAAAGAGGAAACCAAAGATGCCTAGCAGTACATACATCACGTGAATTAAGTTATTGATATTTGCAGTTGTTCAATTTGATAATAACAATAATAATTTAATAATTGTTCATTTATGATACACATTGTTAGTAGCTTGTACCTGTGATTGTTGATCAGTTAGTACACTGTAAGAAAAATATCTAGAAAAATGGCAAAGGTACTAATAATTTTCCAGGAAATTATCCGTTATCAATTATCCATTGTAACCCTAAAACACAAAATACAATGCGTAATTAAAAATGCAGGTACAAAAACCTGTGGAAAAATCAATCCAGAAAATTCCTTCATATTAACACAGTAGA